TCCTTTGGAAACAATAAAGCGCAGTGGCAATTTTATTTTGATCTGTAAAAGTTTAGTCAATCCAATGGCTTAGTCTTAAACATTTATACCGCTACAATCATCAGTCTTGAATGAAAAGAAACTTTTTTGAGGATAGAGAGCCAACCCCTCATCACCAATTTTTTTCTTCACATGGTGTGTTTTTGCCCTTGTAGATAATATGGCTTCCTTAAGGAAAATCTTTAATATTGAAAAATAATGGGAGATTATGGATATTGCTACAACTTTTTCGGCTCGAAAACCTACTCCTCCTTCGAATGGATCTAGTGTCCATTCCATCACTCAAATTCCTTCTATCTCTTCTAGTCGAGGTCGTTCTTCTACCAGAACTGCTACTAAAAGGGATTAAAGACCAGGTTTCTTCTCCACCTGCTAATAATAAAAGGGACCATGGTAAGGACCACACCCCCTCTTCAAGGAGAAAGTTTAGATAAATAGACTCTATTGTCTAGGTAAGCCTTCATCGAGCTTTTTATAGCCATTGTCGGGTCATATTCCCCTTTGCTTAAGTTGCCAACTACTTTTCCATCATGTATTCCTTATACCTATCAATAAGCACTTGTTTTCATATTCAAGGAAGATATCGCCTATATCTAGAATCTCTCTGAATCAAAGAAATGTAAATCTTTTTTTAGGCTATTTTCTACACTTATTATATGACTTCTCTATTTTCCCTATATGGTGTTGGTGATGAGATGTTTTAGCTATGTGAAACCCTTCAAAGGAGAAATATACTTTGAAGGGTAAATGAGAAGCAATGGAGCATGATAAATCCCAACTCCAGAAGAAAATATTGGATATTTAGGAAAAATTAGATAAATTAAGGTCTCTTCAAGAACAAGTGAAAGTTAATGGGACCCCTTCTTCCCTTGCTGCTAAGAATACTGAGTTGCAATCCTCCTTGGAAGTTGAGGAGAAGTTTGACAAAAAGGTGGCCATTGTTGCAGCTACATTAACATCTCGCATTGAGGAGGCTATGAAGGCTCTTCAAAGGTAAAGAAGTCTCGGGAGAAGGAGTGATGAATATACAAGGGACAAAACCTTTAGAAATATAAACGATGCTTTCGACCTAGCAGCCGACCAGTTTGAAACATTATGCCCGGGTATTCAGGTTATCTGCTTGCATCTCAACTATTATTTCATCCAATAAACTTTGAAGAATACAAGCATCAAAACCCCAAGTGAGGAGGTAATGTTCATATGTGGTACCAGTCAATCCTCATGGATATCCCATTATAATATACATAGAGAAACGAGTTCTTCCTTCTGATTTAGATAAAGTTGTGTTGGTGAAAAGAAGATAAAGTTCGTATATCTTGGTTGAGGGAACTTTGTACGCAAGCGACTTACCTACCCCTCTATTAAAATTCCTAGAAGGAGAAGATATTTCTTATGCCTTCTTATAAGTCATGAGGGGATAACTGGGAAACACCTAGGTGATCGGGCATTGGCTAAAAAGGTTTTAAGAGCAGAATATTATTGGCCATCTATGGTCCAATATACCAAGGAATATGTGAAGAAATGTGACCAATGCTAGCGACAAAAAGACATTTATAACACCCCAACGACATAGTATTTTGACGTCATCTTGACCTTTTTCTCGGTGGGGTATGGACATCATTGGTCCATTTCCTCTAGGTCTAGGTCAACTTAAATATTTGATAGTGGTGGTTGACTATTTAACCAAGTGGGTCAAAGCAAAGGCTCTGGAGAATATTACAGCAACAAATATCCTAAATTTTTTAAAAAGGAATATTCTAGCCAAATTCGGTGTTCTTCAAGCCATCGTAACAAATAATGAAAAATAGTTCACCGATAGGATGTTAAAGAAATTGTTAGAAGAATTGAAAGTTAAGCAACACTTTGCATAAGTATAACATCCATAGACAAATGTACAAGTGGAGGAAGCTAACCGAGTGTTGTTAAGGGTACTGAAGTGAATGCTCAAAGCTTCCAAAGATATTGGGCGGATGAACTGCCACACGCCTTATGAGTGCATATACCAACCCTCTATTCAATGACCGAAAAAACTTATTTCTTCTAACTTATGATACTTAAGTCGTCATTCTTGTGGAGGTTGAAGAACTAAGTTAGAGAGGGGGAGACCCTTACTAAAAGAAGACAATAATTGTGAATTGGTGGAGGAAATTGACTTCTTAAAGGAAAATATGGAATCCCTCGCCTTCTATAACTCGACCTTCAAATAAGCTACAAAAACTCGATACAACCAGCACGCCTGAACTAAGGAGTTCTTAGGTGGATACCTCGTACAAAAATGAGCCAACATCAGAGGTAAAAACATCCAGGTCAGCAAGCTTGCATTAAGCTGGGAAGGACCATATAATATCCAGGCCGACATCAGAAATGGGGTCTACATCCTAAAAATACTAATTGGGGAATAAATACCAAGAACTTAAAGCTTTGCCAAACTCTAACGCTGTTTCACTTGAATCCCCATCAAATATTGGAAAGGGTGAAATATTAAAATATTGTTTACATTTGATGTAATCCTTTGATATATCTATGTCTGATAGCTTTATCCCTACATGTGCCTCCATTTTTAGGAAAATAAGGAACAAGATACAATGCATATTACATTGCAATTGGAGAACCTCATCTTAGGATCTATCCACTCTAATATCGTAGGTGATGGAACGTCCACCTCAAACCCAGGGGCATGGATGGGGACCCAACCCTCAGATGAGGATGATCCTTTGTGACACAGAAGAGTTACTTCAGCTCCCTTCAAAGGGGATGGGTAATCCTAAAAGGCAAAGTCTACCTCACTAAATTACACTAGTTCCCATAAAAAGGGATGAATAATGTTGTGAATATTAAAGATATGTCAAATTCCCATAAGCGAGACAAGATTTAACCAATTAGATGATAATTAATATCTGAATAAGCGAGAAAGAAATGCGTCAAATATTTATTAATTTACATGACCATATATAATATTAAACTACAAAGAAATTATTTCAAAATTCCATATCACTTCTGCTTTGAAAGCTTATTTCATCGCGGGGGATTTGAATGCGGTATCTCCTACACCATTCGCCGAAGATGCTAGAAAATATTTCTCTAACCGAGCCAACTCATCTTAGAATACTTTCACCTCACCTGAGTAATCCTCTTCCTCTTCTTTTAGCTCATTTTTCCAGTAGCTATAGCACCATAAGGCAAAGTTTCTAAATAAGACTTAGCTATGCAAGAAGCTTTCTTTTCCTCCTCAAGGATGGCCGAAAGATCAACCTTTTTGTCATTCAAATCCACAGGGGTTCCATACATATCCAATTCCTCTTCAAAGGAAGAAAGTTTATTTGAATCCTACTGAAGCGCAAACAACATTTCCTAAAGCTGAAGCATATATAAGGTGGCCCTGTCGCTCCTTCAAAGATCATAGTTCCCGAGGAAGATTAATCGGCACCATGAGTCTCCATGACCAACTGCAACTATAGCTGTAATAGAGGCTACCCTCGACATCTAAAAGTACAACTTTGCGAATAACCCCAAATTGCTTGTTTTGGAAAAATTATGGATGAAAGCATAATCATCGTCAAATGCACAAGCTCTTATTTCTGGAGAAGTGTGAGGCATCTGACATCCGAAGATAGTAGGAAGTTGGGTAGAAGGGAACCATCACACTCATCCAGAGAAATAGTGGCATGAGCTGACCTGGTTGACTTCAGTCTCTTTGACGGGGCTTCTTCTCGGGAAAGATCCTTTCCACGGTTCCTATTAGTCCCGCATTGCCACCAAAGGAGTGGCTGGGAAAGATGAAGGATTTTTAGCTCTTCAACTTCTCCACCTTTCATACAAACTCAAAAATCAACAAAAAAGATTGATAATTAGATAAGAATAACATAGGTCAACACCAATTAAACACACAAGAATTTGGCCCAACACCAAAAAGTTCCCTTTTATCCTTAATAGAGGCCACATCCATAATATACCGGGTACTGATTAAGAGGTCAGAGAATGAGAGTAAGTTAACTTTTATGGCTTTTTTGTCGATAATAAGGCAAATGTGACGAACAAAGTAGTAAGTAATAGTCTCTTCAAAATGATCCAACGACCATCATCTTCTGGCTCTGTCCGTGCAAGCGGCTGGCCCGTGGTGGGGTCTGGGACGTTACAGAATTATGAATGAATTGCTGGAGAAATCATAGTTACTAGGAGATAGTTGTTTTTAATCTACTTCCAGGTCCCTATGTAAAGAAGAAGACTTTATTATTGTTACTCTGACGAAGGGAAACCAACCCTTGGCCACATCCCTTTTTAGTTGAAGTATGAGAAACAAAAAAAGAGATGAAATAAAATATTTTTAAAGCGGAACCCCTTTGCCCCTTATACTCATACCAATGTTAAAATACTTTAAAAACTCCTAGGTCGTCGGGTAGAGTTGAGAGGGGGAAATATGTAGATGATAAAGAACCCCTTTCTTGAAAATATCCAGAGGTAATCTTACTCCTAGTTTTTGAAAAATACAACCGTAAAAGGGGATATAGCACCCTTCAAACAAGATATAGATCCTTTTGTTAGTTGGGATAAATGAGAGCAATTAGTTAGAAGATAGCCTTACCTCAATGTTAGAATGCTCAACAACAAATACTCTACAATAGGTGGAAATTGATCATAGACCTTTGGGATCTACCTAGTGATACTAATCTCCATTTGTCAACTACAACAAACTTTTCAAGTCGAATCATATTCTTTCTCTGTCATAAAAAGGGTCATTTTGGTCAGGACCAACATGGAAATTATTATGAAAAGAAGCACAAACCCCAGTGTTACTACAGGTAGAATATATATCTCTCTCTCTCTCTCTCTCTCTCTCTCTCTCTCTCTCTCTCTCTCTCTCTCTACTAAACCAAGCAACTAGTCTCGCACTTTGTCTCCCTAAATAGAGTAATACCCAGGTTAAAATAAGCATGAACAAGAGAGAAGGTACACACAGTGGTTTACCTCGCTACAAAATCGTCGTTATCGTTCCAGGAATCCAAACCCAACCCACAACTACCGATTGGTACATCGAGGGATTGGATAGGTGGATCCACCCCATAAAAAATATCCATGTAATCTGGATTCTCGAACCCAACGAATGATAAAGACTCGTCACTGTCAAATTCATATGTCGCATTTACAAGTTCATTCCCTAAGTTGGCCATTGTGGTACGTGAAAAGTAGAGAAATACCTTAGGGAAGACAAAAGCTCGAGAAAGACAAGGAAACGGGGAAGCTGGACCCATAATGAGGGAGATATTAAGTGGTTAAAATTGTTGGAGCTTGCAAGTAGAAGACAAGTTCATAGGAGAAAATAGATTTCAAATGACGAACAAAGTGAAAAGAACATTTGAAAACAAGTTCATCTCTTTATAGCGGAACGAGTAACAACCAACTGTCTAGATTAGATGAAAACGAAGAGGCAAAAAACGACGACTAGAACATAACTTATGAATATAACCATATTTGAGTACACTCGAATATCTTAGAGAATAATACCACCCCATAACTTGTGAGCCTAAGGTCGCGTACATGAAAGTTGACGAAACGTCTTAATGATTGAAAGTGCATTTAATGCACTTGCCCCCACTACTTTTAGAACATCCCCAGGGTCTTCCTATTTCTCCTTATGACCAGCTTAAGGATGAGATGTCAACCTCAACTTCAAAAGACTCACCAACTGATGAAACACTCGACAAGCCTTATGGACAATTGTTCTGGATCGACCTAAAACCTAATGTCGCAAGACCCAAGTGTTAAACCCATTAAAATTGTCCATCATATATAATTGACATATGTAAGACATAAAATACACTTTTTTAAAACTTACACTTTATTCATTTTAGACTCTATAACTGATTTGAACGTTGAAATACTAACTTTGCAGTTCACCATCGGATCACCATATAGGAGATTCCATACCACTAACAATTATATTTTCCTTATAATATTAAAAATCAGTTATACATATATGAAAAAACAAAATAAATTACAACTTACCAATCAAACTAAATAACAAATATTACGTTTTAAAGACACTGATTTGTATGAAAGAAAGATACAAAATAATAATTAAGATACAATATTAATGATTTATAAAACAGTAGCACACACTTATTGTTATATTTTAATTAGCATCAATTTTATAAGTTATTAATATTTTTCATATCAAAAATTTATTTAAGATATTTAATTAATTATGAGACTCTTCTTTTGTATGAAACCAAGAAACCGAAAATAAAATCCCTGTAAAAAAAGGGCACAAAATAAAATTTGGAATATTAACTTCTTTTCAAAATAGACAGTTAAAACAATGAAAGATAGATGTTATTCCAATCTTCTCTCTCTATGCAATATTAGTAATTTAAGGTGGATTGGGTGACGATGTTCTTTTTTTACTTTTCACAGATTCCGATTTATGAGTGGCATATCTCGTAATTAACAACAAAACCAAGGGCATTGTTCAAAATCTACACAGAATTCACCTAATATATAAACCTCTTTCTTCCGATCTTACTCTTCTCTAGTTTCTTCTCTTCCTTCATTCCGTGCTCTCCGCCTGAAAGTTAAACACTCGAACTCGTGTGTTTTTTTTTTTCCGGTGCTTGTTCTTCACCTTCGGATCTATAGTATCTTACATAATTCAAGAAAAATCTAAAAAAATAAATTCAGAATTCAGCGTTTTCCAAATTCGAAGTTTGGTTCAGTTCTTTATTTTTAATCAGGTAGATCCGAAGTGTGAGCTTTCAAGGTATCGCCGTCGTGTTTGATCGATTGCATTTTGTTTTTAATTATCCGATCCGTGTTGTTTACATTATTAAATGCGTTTTTTTTTTATTAATTCTCATACATGCGTTGATTTGATCTATAGATCTAAGATTTTATTCATGATAATCTATACTCTATAAATAATTTGCGGAATGATTTTATTAATCTGTTATTTGTGGATTTAATCTGTTGCATGATGATATCGAAAGTTGAATTGTTTGTTTTTTTTTGTCTGAATTGAATTGGATTTGTTTGGAGATTGATGGTTTATGTTACTTGGATGCAGATCGAACAAACGTAGCTGTTGAAGAATGGCAACAGCGGCGGCTGGGAACTCGGCGTGGTATAAGGCGAAGGTGAAGGCTGTTCCTTCGGGGGACTGTGTTGTGGTTGTTTCCGTGGCGGCTAATGCAAAGTCTGGTGTTCTTCCGGAAAAATCCATCACTTTATCGTCTTTGATTGCGCCGAGATTGGTAATTTTGGTTATTTGAATGTTTGTTTTTACTTTTGGAGGAAGATTGAGAAACTATATGCTGAGATGTGTTGTTTTGTATTTTTGGAATTTTCTGCAGGCTCGTAGAGGTGGTGTAGATGAGGCATTTGCATGGGAAAGTAGAGAGTTTCTGAGGAAGCTTTGCATTGGAAAGGTGTGAAATTAAGTTGTTTGTTATTATGATCTGATTGAGTGGTTTGGTATTGTATTTTTTTTATGATTGATGAAGCATGCAATGTTTCTGATTTCTGACATGATATGTTACTTTAACAGGAGATTACTTTCAGAATTGATTACACCGTGCCATCAATAAACCGAGAGTTTGGAACAGTTTTTCTTGGTGACAAAAATGTTGCAATGCTTGTTGTTTCTCAAGGATGGGCAAAGGTTGAATACAGTGTGATTTATGTCTATATGTGCATGTGTTGCGATTGGATTATTTTTCCCATGTCTGAATTGGATTGTTGAATTGTGGGATTGTTCCTGCAGGTTAGAGAGCAGGGGCAGCAGAAAGGAGAAGTGAGTCCATTCCTGGCTGAGTTGTTACGGTTAGAAGAACAAGCTAAACAAGAAGGCCTTGGTCGTTGGAGCAAGGTTTGTCTGGCTTTTCCTCTTTTTCTAAAACTTTGTAATTTAGGTGCTGCTTTTGCTGCCAAAATCAAATGTTCATTCCTTGATGTTCTTGCAACTTAGTTTACTAGAAACTGAGGTGCAATGTATTTGGCAACCATGTTGATGACAATAATTAGCAAGTATTTTATATTGTAGTTTTCTTGAACTCTTACTTTATCATCCAATATTTATAGACGCCGTCTTCTACTTCCATTTAAATTAACAAGATATCATGATTCTGGAATGACGTGGAAACGAGAGAAGTGTAGTTGTCATTCCTGTTAATATAATTGAAATCTTCTGTGAGTGAATCGTGCATGATTTTATGGTGATCGCAGGTTCCTGGTGCTGCCGAGGCATCCATCAGAAATCTACCACCTTCTGCTCTTGGTGATGCTAGCAACTTTGATGCAATGGGTTTGTTAGCTAAGAGTAAGGGAGTACCAATGGAGGCACTTGTTGAGCAGGTTCGTGACGGAAGTACTCTCCGAATCTATTTGCTTCCGGAGTTTCAGTTTGTCCAAGTTTTCGTTGCTGGAATCCAGGTACATTTCATAATTGCTCTTTTGGCAGCTACCATTTTTTCTATGTGTGCCACTTATTGTTTTCTCTTTATGTCAGTCCCCACAAATGGGAAGGAGAGCTGCACCTGAAACTGTTGTTGAACCTGAGGTAACAGTTGATAGCACTAATGGAGATGTCCCCGCAGAACCTCGTGCTCCACTTACATCTGCCCAAAGACTTGCCGTTTCAGCATCTGCTGCTGAAAGTTCAGCTGATCCTTTTGGCCCGGATGCTAAATTTTTCACTGAGATGCGTGTATTGAATCGGGATGTAAGCGGCAATCCTCTACAAGTTATATTGCTTTTGCATTTATGAGATTTTTCTAAATTCCGAAATGGGTATGCAGGTTCGGATTGTCCTGGAAGGTGTGGATAAATTCAGCAATTTGATTGGGTCAGTGTATTATCCTGATGGTGAATCAGCAAAGGACCTGGCATTGGAGCTTGTTGAAAACGTACGTAATTCACTTGTATAGAGAAATATTAGCCTAATTTATTTTGTCAAAATCAAATCTTGTTGGATGTGACTTGTTTACAGCTATGGTCTTTATACTGGAGTACTTCAATTTGATTTTTCCATCAAATAGGGTTTTGCTAAATATGTTGAATGGAGTGCAAACATGATGGAAGAAGATGCGAAGCGGAAACTGAAGTCTGCAGAGCTCGAGGCTAAGAAAAGTAGGTTAAGAATTTGGACAAACTATGTGCCACCGGTTTCAAATTCCAAGGCAATTCATGACCAGAATTTTACTGGCAAGGTAAAATATACTCATGTTTTTATGGCAAATGGTAACTTCTTCGGTGAACTAAGTGTATATTTCTTACTTAAAATTTTCAGGTGGTTGAGGTTGTGAGTGGAGATTGTGTCATTGTTGCTGATGATTCAATTCCATATGGCAGCCCACAAGCTGAGAGGCGAGTTAACCTTTCAAGTATTAGATGTCCAAAAATGGGCAATCCTCGTCGAGATGAAAAACCAGCTCCATATGCACGTGAAGCAAAGGAATTCTTGAGAACGCGCCTCATTGGTCGTCAAGTACGAAGATATCTTGTGGACCTTCTTTTAATATCATTGATATTTAATCTATAATTAATTACCTCTATTTTACAGGTGAATGTACAAATGGAATATTCTAGAAAGGTTGGTCCTGTTGATGCAACTGGAGCTCCATTGGGAGCTGCTGATAGAGTAATGGATTTTGGATCAGTCTTCCTATTGGCCGCCTCGGGTAAAGCTGACAATGACCAAGCTCCTACACCTGCTGCTCCTGCAAGTCAGCAAACTGGGTTGAATGTCGGAGAATTGATAATTGGTCGTGGCTTTGGCACTGTCATTAGACATCGTGACTTTGAAGAGAGATCTAACTTCTATGATGCTCTTCTTGCTGCTGAATCACGTGCCATTTCTGGAAGGAAAGGGATCCATTCTGCCAAGGATCCTCCAGTGATGCATATAACTGACTTGACCACGGTTTGCAAAATTTTAGTTATTTTGGATTTTGTTTTTACTTTGAAGCTTAGAAAGTGTAACTAAGTCTAACTGTTTCCTTTTGTATCATATTATTAGGCATCGGCCAAGAAAGCCAAAGACTTCATGCCTTTCCTGCATAGAAGTAGAAGAGTTCCTGCTGTAGTGGAATATGTTCTCAGTGGCCACCGTTTCAAACTGTTGATTCCTAAAGAAACTTGCAGTATTGCTTTTGCATTCTCTGGTGTCAGATGTCCTGGTCGTGAAGAGCCATATTCTGATGAAGCAATTGCACTGATGAGGCGGAGGATAATGCAAAGAGATGTTGAGGTAATTTAGTTG